AAGGGAACAAGGGAGAGGGGAGTGACCAGGGAGTGAGCAGCAAGGAGCTCAGGGTCAGAGTCAGAAGTCTGAGAAGTCGAAAATATTTCTTAAAGACCGTTATACCAGGCTTGATGTTGTGACTTGTGGGTTGCAGTCCCTTATGGAGTTTATAGACTTCTTACAGAAATAGACCATAAATTAAGTATTTAAATATATGAAGTTCTTTAAAGGAAATACATAAAATATTATGAAAAATAAAGGCCCAGGGCTGTAGGCAAAGGGTAGGAAACTGAAAAAATTGACACTTTAAATCTCTCCAAGGCATGGCTAGGAAGACAGGCCTGATAATCTGCTTGTGAAAAAGGTAATGTGCCTTGAAATTCCTATAGAGTAATTCTGCTCTGTACACGTGGGAACACCATGAGGTAGAAAATAACAACAAGGAAGTGCTTACTAAGGTCATATTTATACTGACATTGAAGTGTGAGATGCCAACCATGCAAAGAATTTCAGAGGAAGGGCATTTCTACTGTTGAAACAGTGCACATGAAGATTCTAAGATTGAGAAGAGTTTTGTCTTTCAAGATTAGAAAAGTTCCAGTAAGGATGGACTAATGGTGGATATAATAGTGAAAATCAATGTGAAATGACATGCCAAGTGCTTAGCTAATATTAAAGCCTATGCCAATAAAAGTATTTGAAAATAATATATTTTAAAATGAAATGTTGTTAGTGTAAAACAAAAAAATCCCAATGTAGATTATCTAGTGCTCAGAGCTCAGAGCTAGAAATATTTTGATAAAAATCTTAAATAATTAATATTTCTGCACAAAGTTATAAGAGTGGTGCAGTGGATTAATTATTGGCCAGCTAACAGAAAGATCAGTGGTTCAAACTCACTAGTCCCCCAACTCTGTAGAAGAAAGATGAGGTAGCCTGCTACCATTTATATTTATAGCCTCAGAAAGCCTAGCAAGCAGATAGGGTTGCTATGAGTTAGAACTACTTATAGCAGTGAGTTTGGGTTTTTGGATAGTAAAAGTAAGCGTTCATATTTTCTCTTCCAGTGGAAAAATTGGCAGAACAATTTTCACCATTTCTAGTATTTAAACATAATTTTAAAAATTAAGGATAAGAGCAAGGTATTCCAATATGTATAAAAATATTAAAGATAAGGGCCAGGAATTGAAAGAAATTAATAAAGTAGAACAGGCCTAGGTCTGGCAAACAATATACTTTTCTTTTTAGAAAACTTTGTCATACAGGAATGGAACATAGTTTGCAGTTATTCACATAATCATTCACATAGGTTCTTCTTAAGTTACTAAGTTAGCATATGATATTTTGATTTTCTTAGTTGTGTGAATCACACTTTTTCTGATAGTGTTCTCAAGTGCTTTTCTCTGTCCTTGAGATGACTAATGAAAGCAGGTTTCCAAGTTCAGGGTTACTATAGGATGACTGAGCCTTAGTTTATTTGTTTTAGAATGTGCTGTTGAAGTGACTAGGGTCAGAGATAAGAATCCCAGGTAACCTCTGACCATATGTTTTAAGTGGTACCAGTGGTACCACTTCATGGCAGCTATCACAGGTGCTAATGATAGTGCCATGTTGCAGTACACATACATGAGTGTGAATTGTGGTTACTGTTGTAAAAAGAACTAAAAGTTTCATCCTTTCAGGTAAAAAATAGTACTTTTATTTTGTGTAGCTTTTGTGTTCGCCCTTAATGTTGGTTTAGAGTTAATATAGTATGACTAAAGTTTGGTCACATGATGTAAATCTTATAAATTAACCTTTAATTTCTAAAACAATTTTATAAAAATAAATCAGCAATAAACCAGTATCAACTAAGTCTACAGAGAAGAAGCCCACCAGCCTGTGTGATTCAGGAATGTAAATATGTAATAAAACCCAAATCCCATACAGGGAATTGTACCATAAATTCAGAACACCCGGTTTGCAGAAGGCTATGGATGATAGTAGAAGCTCAAAATCGATTTGCAGTATTCCCACATGGATTAAACTAAAGTGCATCCCCTCTGACCATAGTCCAGGGATGTGAGTAGCCTTTTCATCAGACAGAGTGCATTTAAAGTCAATTATGGAAGATATAATTAGGTTAAAACATAGCACCTTATCATTTGATCTCCCTTTTGAACCCATTTTTAAATTGTTTGTTTTAATGCTTTCTGCTCTGTTTTCATATGGAGTTTTCTCTGTTTTGTCATTGTTATTGGATGTTTTGTTTTTCTCATTTGTTTCTTGTTTGTGTTTGGTATGATTTTCCGTATATGAAATCCAGAATAGGTAAATATACAGAGACAGTAATTGGATGAATTACTGTAGGGGCTCCAAGGACACTGTAGGAAAATGGGAAACTAACAATGAGTACGAGAGGAAAATACTCTGAAATGGATTGTGGTGATGATTGTACAACTCCTCTTAATGTAATTGAATTATTAAATTGTGTGATATGTGAATCATTTGCCAATAAAACTATTTTAAAATGTTAACCAAAATAAAGACTATATTATTTTAAAGGAATAAACCAAAATTTTAAATATTGCACATATTCATTCCTTGATTTTAGTGATGGTAGGCTCGGGAGACTAAAGGAACATTGATATGTATATTTATTCAAACTTCTAGTTTAGTGATAAAGACCAAATTGTTTTGAGATTTGCAATTCCCTGGTATGAAGATATTCCTGGAAGGACTTGATCTGGAAAGGTGGCTGCGTGACTCTTTATGTCCTTTTCTTTGTTTAGTTGGTAATTCCATTAACGACTCAAGATGACTTGGACAAAGCGGTGGAACTTCTAGATCGTAGTATTCATATGAAGAGCCTCAAGATATTACTTGTAGTAAATGGAAGTACACAGGTAGGAATTGGAATAGATTTTTTTCCAGTAAAGATGATAAGATTTATCCCTATTTTGAATATAGTTATTTTTTTGTAATCACTGGTCATTTTAAAATATGATTAAATGTCAACTTGTATACTGTAATGACTGTAGTTTAGCATCCTTGCTCCTCAGAAGCCATAGCCAAACCTATAAATAAGTATAGTATCTTGTACATATGAAACTAATAGAAGTTAAGAACTTAAGGAGAATGGTATTAAAATTTCAAGAGTAAAAGAGTTGGTAAGAGTTAAAACCAGTATAGAATACCTAGATTATATTTGGTAGGGAAGAGGATTCTGTGTGAAATTCTAAGTGGGAGAATGCCATTAAGTGTCCTTTTTTCCTGTATAGGCTACTAATTTAGAGCCATTGCCATCACTGGAAGATCTGGATAACACAGTATTTGGAGCAGAAAGGAAAAAACGGCTTTCTGTGATAGGTAAGAAGTCTAGTATATAAATCATGAAATATAGATAATCCATCAATTTCTTCTTCATCCTTTCATGTCTGGCTGTGCTTAAACATCCCAAAAGAAGACACATTGTTGTCACATCGATTCTGACTCATAGTGATCCAATAGAGGTCCTATAAATGCTGTTGTCCTGTCAGGTTTCCAAGACTGTGTACTCATTAGGGAAGCAGACTGCCACATCTTTCTTCCATGGAGTGACTGGTGAGCGCAGACCTCTAGCCACTTAGTTAAGTCACCAGGGCTGCTTATGACTAAATATACCCTTAATAATCAGCAGCTTTGCTCTCACTCGCTGCAGTTTACCCTAGTTTAGCTATATTTTAGCATTTGAGGTGCCTTGGAAATTCACTTGAAATATCAAAGCATTTGTTGGTGTTGTGACAGGGTGAAACTGCCCCATAAAGCTTCTAAGGTTGTCATCATCCTAAAAGCAGATCACCAGGTGTCTTAGACAGAAAAACAGCGGCGTTTAAATCACTGGTATCTTTCAGTTAGCCAGGTGCCACCCATAGAATTAACAATCCTCATTATAGATATTTTAATGTTTAAGAAATTCAGGCAGCACTTTTAAGATGTTTTAAATGAACAATCTTCATTATAGATATTTTAATGTTTAAGAAATTCAGATGGCATTTTGAAGATGTTTTAATTGAACAAATAGACTGGAAGAAAAAATATAAGAGGAAGAATTTCCAAATATTAAATTAACAAGTAGGCTGGAATCTAAATTCATAAGCCTTTCTCAAGGGCTTTAGTTACTGCTAGGATGGTATCAATTACTAGGATGCTAAAGATTGCTAAAAATGTAAATGTTATACATTATTATTGCTATTAGCATTTAATTTGGGTGCTTAAAACTCCTCAGTTCTGTGTATCTTCTTCAACTTATATAAAACATTAATAGCCTGTGCACATTTTCTTTGACTAGCTTTACATTATTCAAAAACCAACTGGTAAAAACACTTTTTGTAGATGCTCTTGTTGTTAGGTGCTATCCAGTTGGCTCTGACTGACAGCTACCCCATGTACAACAGTCCTGCTGTGGCTTCAGAATCATTGTTATGTGTGAGCCCATTGTTACAGATAGGGCAGTGAGAAAATGGTCATTAAAGATAGTGTGACAATACATAAGAATACATTTGAAAGGAAAAAGCAGGCGAAATGCCTAAATAGGGAAGATGCTAGAGAGTAGGGAAAATAAGAAGAGGATTGTGAATCTAACAAATTACAAAGACTGGTCAGTCATGAAGGAGAATTGTTGAGGATGAAAAAAGAGATTAAATGAATTATCAAAATACCTGTTACTCATCTCCATTTTGTTCCCTACAGGAGACTATTTATTTTATGATAGTTCCCTTCTAAGTTTCTTATATCAGTTCTACTTTTAGTTTCTGACATACATAGGCATGTGAGTGGCCAGGATGATATCCAAGTAAAATAAAAATTATTTGCCCTCATATTGATGTATTTTGATAAAATTTTAAATGTTTGGTGAAAGAATAATTGAGTTGCCTGAATTCAAATCCTAGCACTTTGAATAACTGTCCTCACTTTTAAGTCATGGGATTGTTAAAACAATAAATTGAGAAACTTTTGAAGTACAGTAATTGAGAAACTTTTAAAGTACAGTACAAAAATGGATTTGGGTGGGGGTTGCCCGTGATGGGCACCTTTTGACCTTGAGAGGAAGAAAAAGTCACCAGCATCAGCTACCTAATTCTGCTGATTCTATTTCCTTGACCAATCCACCAGTAGACCCTGACCCAATTCACTTAAATTGCTTCATCATCGTTGCTAATGTTCTTAGGTGCCATCAGGTCGGTTCCCACCCATAGCAACCCAATGCACAACAGAATGAAACACTGCCTGGTCCTGCACCATCCTCACAAATGCTCCTATGCTTGAGCCCATTGTTGCAGCCACTATGTGCTATTGATCTATCTTGTTGAGGGCCTTCCTCTTGTTTGCTGTCCCTCTGCTTTACTAAGCATGATGTCTTTCTCCATGGACTGGTCTCTCCTGATAATATATTCAAAGTATGTGAGATGAAGTCTTGCCATTCTCACCTCTAAGGAGCATTCTGGCTGCACTTGTTGTAAGACAGTTTTTTTGTTCTTTGGTCAGTTTATTCAACTTTCAGTTTTCTTCACCAGCACTGTAGTTCAAATGCATCAATTCTTCTTTGGTCTTACTTAATCAGTGTCCAACTTTCACATGCATATGAGGCAATAGAATACCATGACTTGGCTGGAGGCACACTTTAGTCCTTAAAGTAACTTCCCTTCTTTTCAATACTTTAAAAAGTTCTTGTGCAGAAGATCTACTGTGTTAGGCCAGGTTAACTAGAGAAACACACCAGCGACACTCATATATGTGTAAGAAAGAGCTTTATATCAAGAGATAATTGTACATCAGGAAAACATCCCAGCCCAGTCCAACTCAAGTCCATAAGTCTGATACTAGTCTGTATGCCCTTCTTCAGACTCAACAAGTTACAGGCAGTGATGCAGAATTCGGGAATATCACCAGGTGGTAGGTACTAAATATATATATATAAAAATATAGATAGCACCTATATACAGTGAACCCTCGCCACTTCGCGCTTCGACTTCCGCGGCTTCACTCTGTCGCGGTTTTTGGTAACAGCGCATGCTCTGTCGTTACTGCCACTGATTGGCTCATACTGTACACGCTTCTGTCTGCATCGCTCTGTATCGGAGCTACGTATCAGATGCATTTTTGCTTTTGTACAGTGTACTGTAATTGTTTGCGATTTTTAAGAAATTTTATCTAAGCCCTATGAT